AAAACTCATACTTAACTAGAATATATAGAATATATGCATACATTTTATGACTTCATTAAACATTTTCTTAAAGTTATTTATAAGGGGTCTTAAAGTTATTTGATCAAAAATATAAGAAGCAATATTATATTTTTCTTATATTTTTGATCAAATCAAAAATATAAGAAGCAATAACTTAAAAATAAAGTATCGTCTAAACGCTATATAATTGATTGATTAATTTGTTTTGTTATTTGTATTTCATTTCTAAAATACATGTAATTGTATTTATTAGAGACCCAATTTTCAAATAATTATTCTAAAATGTTAGATATTTTACCATTACACCTATACAAATACATTACCTATTGCTAAAATGATTATTGTTTTTCGAATGTAATTATTGTACATAATATACCTATTACAGAATGATCAATTTCCATATTATATATTATTCTTTTGTGTAATAACCACATCTGGTAGTTTATTGTTAATTTCTTACCTCAATTTAATTTCCGTCAATATTTTTTTGACGTTATATCGTCCTTGCACAGTTTTTTTTTTCGTGTTTCATCTAATTCGAATCAGTGCTATAACCGCGAAAATTTGACAAATATTATCGAATTAATAACCAAAAGATTATTCAATATCTATACTTATGTACTTATACCAACATTCTCAAATATCACTACTTTTTCTTACCGTAAACCGTTACAAATTTACAATAGGTCGAACTATTAAATAAATCTGCAGCTCAAATTAAAATTTAGTTTCGTTTAACGACACCGTGAGAATATGGCGTATCGTCGATATTTTTTGTTATATGTATTTTTATATAAGTTTGATAATTTTTATATATTTTTATATAATCTCTCCACCATTAAGTTCCCTTAGTAGCCCTTCACGACACCCACGAGAAAAAAGGGGTAGACCATTCTATCTCGAGACCATACGAACAGGATCAAAAATAGCCACTATCCTATACGATTACCACTACGATTATGTAAAATTTCACAACGATTGTTCAAGCCGTTAAGGTGCTAACAAACAAACTCAATGTTGCATAATATTAGTAAGGATTATAATATGATCTTTTAATAATATAATATATAGAACTTGTATAATTATTGTATTGTCATATTTATTGAATTTGCTTTGTTTATTAATTTATTGTAGTATTGGTTTAAGAACATAATCAAAATAGCGACTATGTACAGTAAAACTCGGGCTATGGAAACTGAAAATGTTTCATATTTGTTAAACAAAAACAAATCGAGAAGTTTGTCGTTTCGATCAACACCCAGTTGCCGATATTGCGTTTGGATATTGGCAACAAGGTATCGAACAAAAATATTTAATTAATTCTTTTTGAAGTACCCTCATCATATAAGTAAAAAAGAGAGATAATGCTTTAGAGAACGATACGGCCATATTTGTTCTTTATGGAGCTTTTAGTTGCTTAGTTCCGGGTTAGATTCACTGGACATTTCAATATTAGTATGCGCGGCAAGTAGCTACTTGTCGTGATTCAATGTTTCTGATGTCACCATTGTATCTAGAAAGTAACGGATCTAAAAAAATGCAGTGTATGGCATTTAATATATATTTTGATTAACACTAAATATACAGTACGTTAATTAACGAAATCCATTTCTTAAAATTAGTATTCATTAATAAGACCTCGGATTATTTTCCCTAGAAAAAAAAAAACAATAAAGAATATAACGTTGTAACTGTTAAAATAGCTTTGTTTGATCTATGAATTGAAATTAGCCTTTGGATTGTAATTCGCATCGCATTCTATATTCATATTGTTAATGAGAATAAAATAGTTTTCTGTGTTTGAGGAGTATTCTTCAGATGCAGACATAAATGGACATAGACGACGCCATACCTCGAAAAATAAAATGTAAAAATATAGCGAAAATCTAGCGCACCGTATCTTGAAAAGCAATAATTTGCAGGAAATAATAGTTCGTCAATTTTATTGGGAGACAGTATGAAAGAAGAATATAAAGGATGATGTTATAGAACACGGAGTATCTAGAATTTAAATATATTTAAGAAATTAAACAAACACTCGTAAATGGTAACACAGATGGTAAATTAAAATTATTAAAGTGTGTGAAGGTAATAAAATACTCGTATTAACAGCAAAACTTCTACCGTATCAAAAAGTTATGAAAATATCACCTGCAACGTTGTATTTAACGATCTTCTTTTTCTATAAAACTTCATATTCGAAATTTAGTGGATGTGCAAGTGATCGATCGTACGGCAAAAATGGTACGCAAAAACATTTGCGATATTCGTCAAGGTAATTTTCGTTTATATGTAATAAACGAAATAGCTTTTATCTATTTGATCTATCATACTCGTAAGAGCTGCATGCTCGTTTGCCCTTGTCGTATAAAAAAATTGTTACTGCAATGTCACATTACTTGATTTTATTAACGTTTGAAATGACTTTATAAAATAAATAAAAGCAATTCTTTAGTATTTCTTACGTATTGTTTACTCATATTCCACTAATAAGTACTAATTTTATTTAATTTTTCTCATTACAATTGAAATAGTTTATTTTGATTATCAGAGCCCATTCAACATCAGAAAAATTGTAGGTGTTTTACCGGCCTTTTAGAAAAGGTTAAAAGTCTTTAAGGTTTTTATATCATATCTATTAGGAAATACTACTGCTAAGAAAGTGTTTACATAAACTTACGGTGGAGGACTGCCACTCATCCAGATGGCCGACATGGCTTGTGGCAGGTTGTACGATTATAAAATTTAGCATCTGGTATTAATACGAATAATACTTTTGTTTTAATATTTTTTATTAGAAGATGTGTGAATACACTCAACTCTCATTGCGGTGTGGCAATATTAGACTATATCTTCCGTTGATAAGGAGAGGCCTGTGCCCAGAAGTGGGACATTAATATGTAGAAACATCTACAGGAAGTCAAACAGATTGAGTTTGGCAAAACTTAAGACGCCCAATTAAAGGCGTGAATTCTGGTTAGGTTAAATCACACCAAAAAAATATTGCTCCATTTGTTTATAACGACTATGGAAGCGGTTTCGACTTCCTCCCAATAATTGGATAATGATTTGTTATCTCGTTTTGCCGGTGCGACCGCAGTTGGTTTTTGTTGCTGTTTGCCTTTCCGTTCTATTTCTAATATGGCGGTTGATCTTGGTAGGAAAGCTGACTGCGAGCATCCAGTCGACCATCCGTAACACGCGCCACAGTCACGATTGCTTAAGTTTACTAGGTAATTTAACAATAATAAATTCCTAAAAATCCAACAGGATAGAGAACCAAAGTTCTGTTATAAAAGTCGAAATGTTTAAGCTCGGTCATCATACTTAGAATGTCATACAACAATTTATCAAATTGAATAAAATATGACTTTATTGACTTAACATTGAAAAAAAAACTAAAATGGTAAACAAGTTGATAATATCTACTTAACTATAGCCATTATAAACAACTAAATGTGATACAACCTAATATTAAGGGTCAGTATAGGCCACAACTCAATATATATCTGGAAGCATCGCTGATGGGTATCTGTGGTATACTGTGGGCTAATAGTTATAAATTCTTTACTTCATAAAAAGTTGTTATCGTCGCCTATGTATGCACTTTATACTTGTTTAATATTATCTATCCTATAAATTTGTTGGTCCTAAAAACCCTTATTTTTTTTTTTATAAAATATTTAGTTTCTATATTATTTTAAAGTACATTTAGATAGGATAATCTTATTATTCTTTCCCTTGAACGCAGTGATTATGCAAAAGCTGTCGCCGTCTTAATGCGACGGCTTGTAAGCAAAGAGTATGCGAATGATTTATTCACACATATGCCCTTAAATTTTACTTGATCTGTAAACAGGGATGCCACTAAAATTTCAATTTTGAAGAGCCGTTGTACATTATGTAGATGTTAAACATAATACGAAATACTATTTATAAACACTAATAGCAATTTTCCTTATAATGCTAAAATAAGGTTAAATATTCGTATAAATATATGAATATTATTTTGTTACTTTGTTTATAAAAATGAATGTGTCGCTTCAAGAAATTCTATTTTATTAGAATAGTTTAATTTTATTTCAACCACCTAATATTAAATTGAATTATATCTTTCAGTAAAACGAAATACAAAGTTAAATTTTACACACGTGCTAACCCTACAAAGCGTCTGTAACAGATGGCGAACTCTGGAGTTTTTGCTGCGAACGAAATTCTCACGTCTATTTTTCGAAGTTGCTCCGCGGTTTAAGATAATTAAAATCATTCTTTACGAGAGAAAAGACACGATTGTCTTCGGATTATTTTAGTTACTATGGCGTTATAAAATTACGTAGGTGGCATCCTATGCTAAAATTATCACCTCGTTACCATTTTTTGTTCGTTTGCTTTTTTATTCGATAAAATATTTTAAAATAACATATTTTATATGCTTTAATAGAACGCAATAAACACAATTTAATGGATGACCAATTCATATGAGCATTTTGACTCATTTTCCGATGGTGCCAATCATATATTGACCAGTATGCTAATGAGAATTCTTTTACTAACTACTATTATATAATATGATCTTTGTATATTTTTATGAATGCTGCTTTTGATGACATTAATTGAGTATATATTTGTTACAGGTTTAATTTTCTAATTGATTTTTTTTCTAATTGAGCAAATTTTACTTTCCTATTCAGGTATTCTATTGTAGGTAAGGTACAAGTTAAATACGTTATAGATATATTGAAATAGCGCGTTCGTTGTTTCAGCTCATCAGACTCGTCCATTATGTAATTTTGTTTTCAACGCATGCCAGACGAAAAAATTGCCCTAATTCTACTTATTTTAATTAGCTTCAAATTATTACCAACTATAGTTAAATTATTGTCATCTTGTGTTATTTTAAAAATATTTCACATGTTTACGAGTATCTCTTTATGTATGTATATTAATATCATTTTAATCGATATTTGTCTTTGTTTCAGATGCTCCAAAAGTAATGAGTCAAGGACAGTGAAAGCAAAAATGTACATACAAACAATTTTAACATTAAGCGTTATCCTCTTGTGCGATGCAAAGTTACCGAAATCAAAACCGTATAACCAGCCCAACGAGCTGCCATTGAATCCAACAGAATATAGTCAAGCAATTCGTCTATTACAACCAGAGTTGAAAAACGAGAAAACTAGTCGAATAGTTGATCAGTATGTGAGGCATCGTAGGGAAGTGTTTTATCCGAATCTCTATGATTCTGGTTTGAATTGGACACACTCTGAAACTTTAGATCAGAATGGTGACGTTGTGTTAAAATGGACGAGCTCCCAGACTGATATCATGTTCAGAGTCGAAGCGAGAACTCTCGGTTACGTCGGTTTAGGGTTCAACTGGGAGAGTAACATGAAAGGTGCGGATTTGGTGATTGGATGGATCGACGACGATTCCGGGCGGGCTCAGATTTTGGTGAGTTCTAAAAATTTGTTTGTTCTTTAAAATTAATTCTAAAGTTCTAAAAAATTAAGCACAATAAAATTTGTTCAAATGGCAAGTTTAATGTCCTTTGTTATTCTCTACCATTAAGTAATAACAGGTAGTGAAAAACAAGCAATATTGTATTTTCTCTTTTCCAATAAAGTTAGTTTTAGTACTGGCATGCTTTGTATTTACTTTTTTATTTTTATCGATTTTGTGTTCGATATTTTTAAAATTATAGTTTTAAGCTTTATTATAGTTTTTAGCTTTTATTTCCAGATAAATACTATGACATTCATCATATAATTAAACATACATACAAACAAACATTATTAAATCTCTTCATGATTATGTATTACATAACTATTACATACCTTTAACGTCTCACTGCTGAACGACATGAATTTCCCATTAAAAGGAGGAATGTATAAATATATCTAATATAAATAATGTACACTTTGGTATTGACATCTCCCTTATTGGCCATTTTCGAGTTATGCCCTTCGAATCCAAGCTTTTATTACAAGGTTGCTAATTAGATACCCTCCGTGTAACTTATTTTAATTAAATCATGTAAAATAATGGAATATCTAATTTAACGGTAAAATATAAAAGCAATTTCGCAGCGGTGCTCGGATACTGCATCGTTGATATATTATTACTGTCTGGAGACTAAATTATAAAAATGTATAATAGTATTGCAAAATGGTAGCGTATTGTATATTGCATTAAATTTTATGAAGCGTATTTTTAAAACTATGTTTTATGCTTTTAATATCTCACACAAAATATTTTACCCAAATTTCGACTGACGTAGTATTTGTATTTTGTAACGCTTGCTAGAAATAATTCAATTTCGTTTACATATTTGGAATTGATCATCAATCATTATCATCGATGAATTCATTCGACTGATTCTCATTCCAAGGAATACGAGAGCTGACTGACTCATATTACAAGCAGAATTTTCTCATTACGATGATGTTAAGATTTTTTGAGCTATTGGTCACCTTTGATTAATTTATGAGTTAATTATAGTTAATTATTTAATATAATTGTATATATTGCATGATGTTTTGACTAAAATATTTTAAACAGTATATATTAATTTTTTTATAAAATGAAAATGGGATGATAACTGTGCTAGTGTGCTGGCGAACTACCAGTAATCTATCATTGTAATGTAGATTTTAACAAATATTTCTACTAAAACTATAAATATGAAAGTGATTTTGTTTTTCTATCATCTTATAGCGTCTTAGCAGCTTAAACAATCACTATGAAATTTGGTATACACGTACTGTATGGGAAGGGGAAAGATATAGGTTACTTTTTTCCCCGAATAATATCTCGGTCATGCGGACAAACTCGTGGTAAAAGCTATTAAGTAATATTTAAAACGATACAAAATATATAACCTCATTATATTGGCATTTCGCTCTTTATACAGCAATGACTATTATTGTAAGAAGTTAATAACGGTGAAGCAGTTGTGTTTGCATGGCTGTGTTTCGGTTTCAAGGGTGGGATATGGCGTGAATTTACAGGATACAGAGGAGTAACACCTGAGTCCTCAGGAATGGTAACGCATGAGGGGTATCATGGGCGAAACAGTATACTCTGTTATGTCCATGGTACTGCTCATGTCTATAGGTGACGGTTACCACTTTCCATCAGGTGGGCCGTCAGCTTGTTTGCCATTCTAAGTTGTATAAAAAAAACTCGCCTGTTTATGATGACGTATTTTCTGTTTGTGGGAAGAAAGTAGGTAGTTCCTTTTCAAGCAAAACATAAACATAGCATAAAATCACTTATTTTCTATGGTTTGGTAATTATTGACCACGAAAAGAAAATTAGCCGAAATACTAAATAGGCTGTTAGTGTTATTAAGGTTTTCTTTGGAGTGGTAAATTACTCGAGGAAAATTCGTTCTAAAGCCGTCTAATATAAGACCTAAGCTATGTTTCTTATAAAAGACAATGCTCTGCGGTTTTCGATGGCATGTCAACGGCCCAAGAAACGAACCATGACGGTTGACACCATCGTTGTCTCTTCCGTGCTCTGTTTTAGAAAAGATAATTGCGTACATTTTGTGTAGTCGTAAATATAATGGCCACTTATATTTTTTTTCAGCTATTAACCGTGATAACTAAAGACGTTCAGAGCTGTTTTTTTTTTTTTTTTACAACACAGGGGGCAAACGAGCATGCGGCTCACCTGATGGTAAGTGACTACCGCCGCCCATGATCACCCACAACACCAGCGGCATTGCAGGTGTGCTGCCGGCCTTTTAAAAAGGAATATACTCTTTTCTTGAAGGTTATGTTGTCGTATCGGTTCGGAAATACTGCTGCTGGAAGTTGATTCCAAAGAATGGTTGTGCGTGGAAGAAAGTGCCTTGAAAAATTTATTTTTATTAATTGTTTTAAATGGTTTAGGGGTTTTTACATTGTCAAATATTTTATCGTTTGCATTGCTGTGTTTCAGTTTGAAGGGTGGGATATGGTAATGAAATTACAAGGTACAGAGGCATAACACTTTAGTTCTCAGGAATGATAACGCATGAAAGGTATTATGGGCAATACAGTATTTTCTGTTATGGCCGTAGTAGAGTTCATGTCTATAGCCGACGGTTACCAGTTTCCATCAGGTGGGCTGTCAGCTTGTTTGCCATTCTAAGTTGCATAAAAATATATGTATAAATTAATTTAATATGTAAAGATATTAAGTTAGTGATTTGATTTTAATACTAAATATAAAAAAAAAATAGGAATAGAAATTATATTTTATTTGAAAGAGACCGACTTTTTTAAATAGCTAATAAATCAGAATGTTGTATAGTAATAAAAAGAAATTTAATCTTTTGATGGTTACGAATAAGAATATTAAACACTAATTTATATTCATTATAAATAAACTATTTTACTTATATTTCAAGACAGATGGATATTGTCGGTCCAGTGTTAGGTAATAAAGAGTATAGTCATAATATCTAAAATACTACCTAGCAGACATAGTTATAGGAACAACTAGTATTTTAATAATATACGAAATACTCAGAAGTACATATTTCATGCATACAGTAGTCGGTAGGTATCTATACAATCCCAAACTGCAAATACAATTTGCATACAGATGTGCAGCACTTGAGAAAATTTATTCTAGATATTAGATAGTAGGTCTGCGGTCGCCAGAACGTAAAAACATTTACATCACGTTTTTAAATTATTATTTAGAAACGTGATACACTTTTATTTATTTATTCTTTTGTTGTTTTTCTTTACGGAGCAAAAAACTGCATTTCGCGTAGCCAAGTCTACTTATAAGATAACATGCGATTCTGCGTTTTAAATTTTTTATCTGATCTATGAAACTTCTTGTCCTTCATCGGTATTTGTGTGTTAAAAATAGATGTAACATTATAGGATAAGCTTTCTCGTGACATATTCCCTTCACACTGTATATATGTATAAATATCATATATATGTATATAAATATATAAAATTACTAAGGGCGCTTTTTTGTGAAAAAAATATCCTTGTCTAAATAAATGGACTGTGAATAGATTGCTTGTTCGTTAAATCCTCACTGTTTAGGAAAGTAAAAATGTTGACATGAAATAAATCTATACAATGGCGGACTTATCTCCTTAAAGGGATCTCTTCCAGTCGCCCTTTGATAAGCTGAATGAAAGCAATCATGAACAAAAGTGAAATTTGTACCGCACTGGATTTATAGCGAATCATTATTCGACTATTATAAAAAAAATGAAAAATACTCGTCTGAATTAAGAAACTTGTAATTTTTAGCTTACGAGGCTTATATGCAATTTATTTTTAACCAACTTAAAAAAGCGATGTTTCTCTATCAGTATTTTTTGTATAAATATTACGTGATGTTATTAACTGGCGACATTCTAACCCGATTACGATGATTATTTTTATTATAGATTTGCTTTAATCCTGTGTTTGCCACGATAGAAGTAGTTTTTATGCGACATAAAATACAAGCTGACAGGGGGGGGGGGGAAAGTGATTGTTAGTAATAGAGACTGAGAATCCCATTGCTAGCAATATACCCAACCAGGTCGACCTCCTCGCGGTTCCCCCTGGAAACTATCACGGTTAATTCCTGATGAATTCATCATGATGGGCTAACTGGCCTTATTTCATTCTCATCTATCACCCTTCGCTGGTGCTCCGCCAGCGAATCCCGTTAGCGCAGGCGGGGTTACTATTCTATTTTCACCTATCAAAAAAAAAATACAATCTGACATCCTACTTGATGGAGAGTGGAAATATACAATATACATAAACATATACAATAAATAAACTTTAATTACTCTTACGTCACTTTCTACGTTAATAAATGCAGAGAATAGTTAGGAAACTACAAACATTTTACTAAGTATAGTCATTCACAACCTCAATTATAATATTAATCTTTAATAACTTTTTGAATTATAGTACCGCGAGCAATTTCCAGAAGATAATACAGGCTTTTGTTCGAGAAATAACCAATTACGTTCCTTCAAATATAGCAAACATTTGCCCAAAATTAATGAAGGTACCCTAAGTTTCGTGCTTATTTTAGTAATATATCTAGATAGTATGTTATGATATTACTATATATGTTAACGATTTTAACCTTTGTCCTTTACAATATCAAAAACTACGTGTAACTATGTTAAATCTTATGATTAGTTGAGCCCTAAAGTACCTTTCTTCTTCTTTTCATTTAAGAGTTTCCTCTTGTCGGTGCAACTAATTCATGCATCTTCTTTCAGCCAGTTTTATCCCAGGCCATATCCTTGATCTCCCTATACGACATGACACCTAGTGTTTCCTTTATCTGTTCCATGTAGTTATTCCTCGGTCTTCCTCTTCCTCTTAAGTTCCTTAAAGCACCAAGAGGTAATAAATAATCTCACTTTTACATAATATTACTAACTAGTTTTATGTCTGCTACTTCGTACACGTATTTCAGAAGTAGAATAGTAAATGAAAAAAAAATGAATTACCGTGTGGTCCCAGCATAGAATAGACCACCCCTTCCTTTCCTGTATGTGTCGTTAAAATCGACTAAGGGGGAGCGAGAGATGGGCAGCAGCATTCCTCTTAAAACATCTCTAAAACCTAACTGCGGTTGTCACGCCTGCCAAGCGTGTCAACTATTGGCAAAACTCCCCAAGGGGGAGGCTTATGTTCAGTATATATATATTCTTTATTGCACTAAAACATACAGTGACAACAATAAGTTAATAACAATGCTAGCAAAGGCGACCACAGTAGTGGACAGTTAAAGGTTGATATGATGATTATGAAAGTACATTTACCTTAAAAAAGTCTAATTCTAGATGGTGTCTACCACTACTATGTAATGGTCAATATGAAACATACACGATTTTTAAAGTTACACCTTTAGTAACAACCGTGAAAACCGCATCCAATTTCGTGCAGTAATTTTTGCGTGATGCCGCCTTTTACACTGACAAGGTGTATTCAGTTCAATAAATAATTTAATATGAAAATGTGAAAAACAAACTTAAGTTTGCGTGGAATTTTTTTGTAATACTTATTAGTATATCACAAGCCAAAAACTTCCGAGATAGCTTTTCAACTAAGTGGTAGTAGTCTCTAAGCTTCCACTGTCCTTGAGTAATCAAATCTTACGATTGCGTTAAAATTTTACAAATATATTCGTTATTTGATAAAGCAATGATATAGTGTTATCGAAATGATTTGCCTATGGAGCTAAAAAGTACAAAGAAAACACACAACGTAGAAAACAATATTTTGTCCCATAAAAAAACAATTCATTCGTACCAAAATTAACATGAAACCAACACTCTTGAGACGGTTCCCAAATATTGCATAACATATAACACACGTCAAATACAGTCAAATTGAGAAACGTCTCTGGTTCTAAGTCGGTAAATAACTTGAGCAGGATATTATAAGTAGGTAAACAATAAATTTATCTTATTACACTCATAACTTATGTCTTATTGTTATATAAATCGATCTCTAAGTTGTTCGGATCAAGTACAACATCCTTTGAAGTAAATAACTGAATAGGCGATTGTTTGGCTTCGATTGGTAACAACAAAGGACGATTCTATATCCGGACGTTTAATGGCTGTGTCTAAATAGATAAGATATATCTCATATTCAACTAATATTATAAAAAACAATGTTGTTGTTGTTCCTTTGGCGACGTATAACTTTATAGTTATGCGTCAATATGACAATAGGGTAGAATAGATGACCATTTCAGTTTTGTTTACACAGAAAAGGAAATTAATACAGGATAGTTGTTATGTAACAACAAAACGTATATTGTAATATATATATATATATATATATATATATATATATATATATATATATATATATATATATATATATATATATTTCATCCTTTTTCAATTTTGACGTGTGAGATCAAAACTAGTACAACACTTCGATGTAAAAAATAACCATTAAAATTTGTTAAAAATTTAGAATATTTTTTATACTACTTTGCTGTCATTGTTTGCCATACGGCCCGTCTGATGGTATATTAGTATACATAAATGTAGCCAATGATTATAAATTTTCATTACCTATTAAATATACATAATAGAATATATATTACATATACATTCTAATATAAATACAACTTACTATCGATTGTACACAAATACATTCACTGAAATTAGTTATACATTAATGAACATGAATATGTTATGTCAGTACAGTGTATAATCTGCTTTTGGTCTATTTGCAGATATTTTGACATATTTACCTGTTTTAAAGCCAGGCCAAATATTATCAGGGGCTCATTTAAAAGCCGTACAAACGCCGACTGCCTCGCAGTGTAATGTAACAAATGGTTAACCACTCCTGTGCGGAATCCCCGCTTAGTTAGAACTGGTACACTCGGGGGAAAAACTGAATAACATTTAATTTACATAAATAAGTTTATTCGTACTTCATTTACATTCGCCAATTCTAAAACATTTGTGGTCTTTCTTTTTGCAATCGATAACGTTTATTTGCGTGTTTGTCTTAATGCCACGATTAAAGTCACTGTGCGGTGTGGACTGCCGTACGGTGAGCGTGGACTGTAGGGGCGTTGGTTCAGGCTGGAGTGAAACACGGCGATTACTATTCTGAAGCCTCCGGTACCGTCTGAAGAGAGTATTTTTTCTTCTTGTCCTATTTCTTCTCGAGTGTAGTGCGTCGCTGCCCGGAAGCGAATGCCGCTCGACGGGAGGCGGCCTATCTTTATACCCGCCCGCTCGCACGATAACGTTTCCAACTCGCGTTAGCGAATCTGTGTGAGCGGGACGGGGCGAGAATGAACGAGACGCGTGTCTCTTCAGATCGGTACCCTATAGCGTTTATTTATTTATTACAATTTACAATTTCTTAATTCTATTTATTGTTACAATTTCTATTTCTATTTGTAGGTAATAATGACAACACGCAAAGGAATACTTTATTTAACTTACACTATCTTAAATCTATGTAAATCTATATAAAATAACAGAATACAAAACGATTAACTAGGACTTAACAACTATAAATTACGATATATACAAATAATGTCGCGAACAGTCACTATTTTCTTACGGAGCAAAATAATATGCGTGTCCGCGCCGAAACAATCGGGCATACCGAACAATTTGACCTCACGGTCAACAAAAAATCTTGTTTTTTTTTGTTTTTGTATGGATCGGACGACAGAAACAGAGCAATTCGTATGCACATCACGTATACTTAATTATGTCATTAGAATTAAGAGAGAAATTGGACAAAGGTGTCTCCTATACTATACGTATACTGGATCAAATGGAAATTATTAGCACCCTTTCATGGAACTAATAAGAATTAACAATTTTTATCAAAGAAAATGGGTTAAAAACGACAAAAAAATAAGGAAAATTAAAAAAGGAAAGAATGAAGATAAGAAAGAAGTGGGAGAAAGATATATCAAAAAATTCCAATTCTAATTCGAATCTTATTCTTAATTTCACTAAACGTATCTGGCAAACTTGCTACGGCTATAAATTACATCACGCGAATTTTATGATTTTTGAGCCCCTCCGTCCTGGTTATAAGTGGTCACATTTATACGATTGCTTACTTTTTGACGTTGTAAAGGCAGAACTAATAAAGTGGACAAAGTTTAGCTCTGGCATAAACATAGTATTTGAGATGGAGAAGGACGTATGTTACTAATTATCCCGGTCAATCAATACGTCCCAGTTACGCGAATGAACTCGTGAATTCGACTTCTAATTGTATAATATGAACTGTTGTACTGTATATAATTAATTAAAGCATGACTCACGATTACCAACTATTATACAAGTGGTAATACGAGTAGAATGATAACTAATATTATAACTTAAAAAATAAAGAAATTAGTCACAGCGTGGGGTCAATTTTAGTTTATTTATGGCTTTAATCTAATTTGTAATAATTTCATCATAAATCAGTCACAGTTATTTTAATTACTTTCGCTTCCGACATTGCGGATAATTGTTGCATTTTCTTTGTCACTCAAACGAATGTTTAGAAATAATTTAAGATTTTATTCCCCATATGAATATTTTGCACCACAAAAAAAAAAAAAAACAGTAAGTGTGTGACAAATTAAAAAAAAAATGAATATACTTATGACTGTAGTTTCTAATTCGATATTCAGAGGCATTAGTCATTTATTACCATTCTGGCGTTGATATACATTTAATTTGTAAACTGTTAAATTGTCTTGGCTAATTTAGCAAACTAAAAAAAATACAATTTAGACTGCACGACTTGTCTAGGAATCACTTTTCCCTTTAATAATAATAACTGTTTTTATTGAATAATTAATTACATTTACTTAGACCTACAAGTTACCGATGTAGGCCGAACCTGTATCTCAGTGAATACTTGAATAACTTCCTTAACGATTCCCTTAAATGGTTTATATGTTGTTTCTTCTTTTTATATCTCTATATAGCATCTTTTATTGTTCTGTTGCTTTGAAAAGGACATTAAAATAATTTTAGCAGCCACTTTATTACTCGTAAGTACGCAGAAGCCTGTCACACGCACCACGGAATACCTATTTGTATTTGTACCCACGTATTACAATCACGTACAGTGAATCACCCAATATATTACAACAGACACACATACAATGTAACAATTTACTCCCGCAGGAGTACACACACTGCCAGATTTGTATATTTATGTGTAGTGTGAAGTCAGAAAACATAAACTAATTAAATTTAGAAGGTCCCTTTGCCACAACACAAATTGTTGGAGTTATATTTTTTAGGGTCGGAGTGTAAACTGATTACACTTGTCTTTAACATGCCTTGCCTAGAAATAAACGCTTAACTGTGTTAGAAAATCGGGATATTAATTTAATGGCATTTTTTATATCAGGTAGGAGATATTCTTTGCCAATTATGAATTGACTTTGAGTTTGTTGTGAATCAAAATTTATTTTATACACAATTTCGTGTTCTAAATTCAAATATTATAAAATAGTGCTCCGCCTTAAATACGCATCGATAGATAGATTTGTAAAAATAATATATAGCCTATGTTAACCGCTGCTAAAGTCTAGGTGAAAGAATTTAAATTGTTAAGTAGTTTTTGAGTTTATCCATTACAAACAAACAACATTTTGTTAACAACAGAACCAGATTCTCATTTCGGTTGTAATTTCTTTTATCATTATAACTCCTACAGTTGTAAACTGATTTAGACTTTATCTGAAAGAATATACTTACAGATTGGTACTGTAAAAAAAATATCAAAATTGCTTCAGTAATTTAGTTTTTAAATGAAAATAACTGTTTTTGCCACAATTGAAAATGAATTTTTTTATGCAATTTAGAATGGTAAACAACCC